AATATCAATTCCAACATGTTGGGCCCCTGCCATCACAGGTTTTAAGACTAAAGTCACCTGAACGAAATTTTCTGAACCATTGTTGACACTTACAAACATTCAAAACATTTCTATAGACTTCTTTGATATTCTTTGTGGCTACAGAGGCATTGTTTCCCTTCTTGTACTCAAACAGCATTACATGCCGAATGTGTGTCTCATCATGTGCAATCACTGTAAGGGATGAGAGCATACTAAACTTTACACATTATATAGGCTACACTAAGGTGACTTTTAGATGGTTTGTTTAACTATTATACATGATGTATGTTGCGTTTTTTTAGGGGGGGGGTAATGAAAGTGTTCCAAAATGCAACATTAATTTATTGACAACCTAATACATGCAGAAAGGTAATGGATGCACCAAAATGATGCACTTGTAATAATTACAGTATGTGCACTTTATAACTCAAATTGCTGATATTGCAGAAATCTTTAGAAATTATTTTTTTCTTGGCTTTAACTTTTTTATGCAGGTAACAAAACAATTTTGAATGTATTAATATTTAATCTATTGAGATTAATCCACTAACTTGATAAAGACCAGGATTAATATTATGTTTTAATTTGACGTAAATCTGAATTTTAAGTGGTTTTCTTACTCATAAAGCAACTGTTGAATAAACCATTCTTTTGTTAAGATTTAATTTTTGTGTTATAATTTGATAAATATTTTGAAGAAAGTATTTATAATGAAAGCTTTTGTTTTTAATATCTTATGTACAGTTTGTTAGTTTTACTTTGATCACAGAGTCCAGGGGATAGCATTCTGAAATTATGTCTTTTTCTCTATACTTACAGTTTTAATTTCTATATCTTCAGGCATGCCCAACCACAGTGCATCAATTCAGGTACTCGTCGATTACTCACAGTTGATTATCTGTCTTTGCAAGTCTGGTGTGATGATGCAGTTTCTCTACTGCTGTAGCTGCCAGTGCTCATCTAGTCTGATGTCCAATAGCAGCATGCTTTGTTAAATCTTTCCTGTTCTGTTCTGCTTGCTGTCTGTTTGTTAACAGTATTTATTTTATAACTTTATTTTTTATTTAATTACAGTAGTGAAATATTTTTATTTCAATACCTATGGTTTTGATAATTTAAATATTTTCTCTATGCATGTAATTTGTAAATTAGTTTTCCAATTTATGTTGTTGAAGTGAAAACCAATTGATATGTTGAGTAAAGCAGTGATGTCAGTTTTGTAAATTATCATTTAAAATTTCTTTTTATACATTCATTTTAAATTATTTGCAAAAAATAATAACATTGCACACAATTAGAAATATATAGTTCAAAAGTGTTTGCACATATGTATATAATTTTTAAGTGAATGTATTCAATCTTTGTTGTGATTCAGTCAGCTTTCATTACTACTATTTGTGCATCTACATGAACATAACTTACAAACCAATGTACAAACATTAGCATATTGCACCAATTTATTGATGTGTAATTGTACCAAATTTATTGTTATTTATGAACATCATGAGCTATTTTATTTGACTTCTTTCAAAATAGTTTAGAAACATGCTACACTAAGACAAGATGAAAATCACTAGTTAAACTATTTGTTTGGTTTATAGCAAATTGTGAAAACAATCTACCTTTATATTCACAGTAGAACATCAGATCTAGTACTCACTTCTGTTCATCTGGTGGCTGAATTATGAAGCCTTAAATTTTTATGTTATTAAAGTAATAGTCAGAGCAGTTATTTTTTTGCTGTTGTACTTTACATTTTTAACTAAAAATTCAGATAATTTTCATTGCACCCTGGCAAATGCAACCCCCGTTAATGCGTTTATTACACTGGGTGACAAAAAAAAATTATCTGCTACTGGAACAAATGCAACTGTTTGAGTAGTTTGCTGAAGCTGATTCTAAAAATCATGTAGAAAATTACTGATCACCTCTAGTTTTTGAGTTATGATAAATAGATTTAACATATTTTTATATATTGTAAAAGTAAGTCATGAATCAGATAATTTAGCTCTTATTGTGTGATCAGATGAGTAGTTTATGTTGAGGTGCCACAGGAATAGAATTACTAGGTGAAGAGGATGAAGATGATTCATTGTTTTCTTTGCAGGATAACTCTTCTGTATCCAAATTAGTCTTCCAATATTGCATTGGAAGACCATTCTCATGAAGTGCTGGTTTCATTGTAGATGCAATATCTGGATACTTAAATATTGTTTAGTTTTGCCTGAATGTCGAGACACATTAGACATACAAACATAACAGTCAGTTAGATGATCTTTGGGCTCGTGCCATATCATTGGAACTGCAGGTGGTATAATTGCTCTGTTTTCATTCAGCCACTGTGTCAAGCCAAATGTGTAAACTGTACAACACACATGGAGCCTAACATTTTTGTTGGTCCACAAGTTTACACCCAAAATAGTGGTAGTAAACTACCTTTACCTTGTTTGTAATGTCTATCTTTCTTGAAAATGTAATATATATTCCACAAATGTAGTAGAAACTGTTTGGGTGATTTTTGCACTCTCAGCCTTTCAAGTGATTTTCTAAAAAAATCTAAAATAATTTATATTTACAGACCTAGAGTTTAAAAGATTTTAAAAACGAAGTTTTGCAGAATTTGATTATATTGTGTGTGCCGAGTGAGGTGAAGTGACCAACTGAATGAGTGAGAGGCAACTGAGAGAGAAGCATCTGCCTCCACTCCTTTTATGCTCAGCCTTGAATGTTCTAGCAAACTGAGCATGTGAGGGTTTTGTAATTCCTGGGCAGAGCAAGTGAATCTGGGAATGAAGCAAAAGTGATACAATTTGTTACAGTTATGTCCATTACAAGTAGCATAAATGAATGGTATATTTGGAATTTTACACCAATGCAATACAGTCAATGTTTGAAGTTATCCAAAATTTATGCATTTTACCCGTTAAGCTGTTCAAGTAAACTTAATTTCACAGCATTAATCTGATGTACATGGTATTTTACATAGTGTTGATAAAATATTGAGATATTACAATAACTCAAATTCTAGAGATGATGGACAAATTCTGACTACATTTTTGAAATCAGCATCATCATATTACTCAAAATCACTTGTTATAACAGAGAAAAATGGATGTTTAAATGCAAGTATCACTTTAGGATGTTTAACAAGCAGACGCACAAATACCTACTGACAAATAAAAGTGAAATATTTTATTCCATAATTGATAGAAATGGGTATTGTTTCAAATCTACTTCTACTGTGATATGAAATTATCTGTAATCTAGATGCAGGTTTTTAGAAAAAAAACAAAGCCACACATTTAAATTAGAGATGAGGTCTTTTTATTTAAAATAATATTTACTTTATACCAGTCTCTAATTGTGATGATAAAGCACTCATAGGGAAAAAAAACTTTACTGTATAATTTCCAACCAGACCTGATGAAGTTTTCAAAGCTTCGTAGTCATAAACCTGTTACTGATTTAAGTAGTTTAGAGCTTTGAAAGCTCCTTTGTTGTTATTTAATGAGAACTTTTCCAGATATGATTCAAGACAAATGTTGTCATACAAACCATAAGTACTATATTTGGCTTTCATATGTTACTTAGAACATAAATATATGAATGATTTCAATCTGCCAATTTTGAAATTTCTCTGAGAAGTACTCATCAAGTAATTGAAAATATATATATACCTTTACAAAAAAATTAAAATATTTTCTAAGTTTATTATCAAACACACTGATAATTTACATTTTTTCTCAACTATATGCCTCCTCTGAGATCTGAACATTCACTCGCGTGTTTGTCATGCCTGGTGACCTGTGAAGGAAAGGAGGGGATCCTGGTGGTTGAGTGTTGTCTGGGACACTGCAACACACCACTTTGGCCATTGGGGATATACTCATTGAGGTTACTCCCCATTCTTCTTTGAATTCCTCATGAGGAGTTATTGTTGTGAGGGATTTGAAGAACATCCCAGAGTTGGAGATCCTCGCTGGTTTTTCCAGCCAAGGAGTTTATGCAGTGCGATGTATCTCCACTAGTAAAGAAGGAATTATGCTGCCTACCAATGTTCTCATTTTGACATTTACGTTGCCACATCCACCTGCAACTGTCAAGGCAGTTTATTTGAACTGTAAGGTATGGTCATATATTCCCAACTCTCTCAGATGTTTCCAGTGTCAGCAGTTTGGTCATTTGAAGGCATCTTGTCATGGTTCTGTGGCGTGTGCTCATTGTGGTGGCAAGGACCACAATGCTTACGAGTGAGAACTGGACTCTCGCTATGTTAATTGTACTGGTTCCCACCCCTCTTACTATAGATCTTGCCCTAAATGTGTGGATGAGAAAATGGTACAGCATTTAAAGACTAACAACAGTTCTTACCCCCAAGGCTTGGAAGTTATTTTCCCCTACTCCATCTTGGACATATGCTGATCCACTGGTACGGTGAGATTGTAGGTGGACCTTTCCATGCCTCTGTCGAAGTCTTTTTCACATCATGTGAAGGTTCTTTTGCCCTCAATGGATAACTGAGTTGACAAGTCTATGTCTACTCCTATCTCTGTCCCCACCATTCCTTCCAGTGACTGCCCGAAGTCACCTCTGGCCTCCAGTGTTCACTTGGGTCCATCTTCTTTGGCCCCGAGATGCAAAATGATTATTCGTTCATGCCCTCTGTCCATGGAATCTAAGTCTAATGACAGAGATCTGTCCACTTGACCAAGGGCAGGGTCCATGGAGGTTGTTAGACTTCCTTCTAGTAAAGAAAAAGGCATGGTCGTAGTTCTCCTCCACTTAAGTAAAAATGGATACTTTGATACAATAAAACTGTCGAGGTTTTTGTTCTAATCTTGATGACATTAAGGCCTAACATTCCATGTGTCTTTCCTTGCAGGGAACATTCCTGAAACCTGCCGATACAGTCACCTTTCAGCAGTTTTCTTTATACCAGAATGACAGGTTGTGTGATGGACGAGTGCATGGAGGGGTGGCACTGCTGGTCAACCAGCACATGCCCACCTTATCTGTGTCACTCGATACACCCTTGGAGGCCATAGCCATCCGTGTTTCCTTGGGTCATACCATCACTGCTTGTTCTCTCTCTGCCTGTCTCCTGGAGGGACTTATGATCAATCAGACCTTGATGCTCTCCTTGAACAGTTGCCATCTCCTTTTTTAATCCTGAGAGACTTTAATGGACACAGTCCCCTCTGGGGTGGCGTTGATATTGATGGGAGAGGTCATTCCACAGAGTGTATGCTCTTGGAACACAACCTTTCTCTCGTCAATACTAGTTCTTATACTTATTTTCTTGCACCTAGTCAGTATTTTACTGCCATTGATCTATCGATCTGTCCCTTTCAAATTTCTCCCACTTTTCTTGAAGGGTTGACAGTGACCCACTAGGCAGTGATCATTTTCCTATCATTTGGCTGTGGTCAAAGCCACCCAACCCAAGTGCCACAGTAGAAGTTTGACCAGACCAATTGGCCCTCTTTCACTGCTCTCTCAGAACTTATTGTCATCTGTCTGCCATCATTAGACGACTGCACGGTAGCAGTAACTGACTGTATTGTCCAGGCAGCTGCTCACTCTTTTCCTAAGACCTCGACACGTTTTCCACAGTATCTACATCCATGGTAGAGTCCTGCCTGCCAGGAGGTACGGAAGGCTCAAAACGGGCCTGGGATACCTTCCAATGGTATCCATCTCTTTCTAACAGCATAGTTGATCAGTGGGCCCATGCCCACACTCAGAAGGTTCGGCATCAAAGCCAAAAGGAATCCCTTCTATCACCAGTTCCAAAATTATATGGGACAAGATTCAGAATGTCACTGGGAGGTATGCTTCTTATCCCATTTCCATCTTGCTCTCTAATGGCCAGGAAGTTGCTGATGTCCAGAGCATCATCGATACTTTCAGTGACAGCTTTTCTCATCCATCTAACACTTCTGTTTCTTCCTCTACCTTTTTGGTCATCAAGTCTGGCCAGAGCAATCAGCTCTTTCCTTTAGGGTCGATTATCTCTATTTCCCCTTTACACTGGTGTAACTCAAACTTGCTCTTCATCGATCTGGCAGTACATTGGTTGGACTTTATAAAGTTCACTGTGAGATGCTGCACCATCTCTCTCTCTCCTGCTGCTTTTGCCACTCTTCTGGTTGTTTTTAACTGGATCTGGCAGAAGAATGTTTTTCCTGATGCTTGGTGCCAGGCTATTGTTCTCCCTTGTTCTAAACCTGGGAAGGATCCCAAGATTCCTTCTAATTATCATTCAGTTGCTTTGACTAGCTGTCTCTGTAAGGTCTTAGAGAGGATAGTTAATGCTACTTTTGTTTGGTTCCTTGAATCAAACAACCTCCTCTCACCCACCCAATATGGGTTTCCGTCAACAGCACTCCACCATGAACCTCCTGATTCGACTTGAAACATTGATCAGGGAAGCCTTCCTCAAGAGGGAACATCTTGTTTCCATGTTCTTTGACCTTGAGAAGGCTTATGACACTACGTGGAGGTACGGCATTTTGCGGGATCTTCACTCGTATGGGTTGCGTGACCATTTATTCATTTTTATTCAGGACTTTTTACTGGACAGGCGATTCCAAGTCCGTGTGGGTTCGATTCTTTCCCGTTCTTTTCCACAGGAACTTGGAGTCCCTCAGAGCTGTGTCTTGAGTTTCAGCACTTTTTAGTATCAAAATTAATGCTAGCACTACACAACTTCCTCGTATTGTTGCAAACAGGCTCTATGTCGATGACTTCCACATCTTGTGTCGGTCATTGAACATGAGGTTTATTGAGCAGTAGCTTCTGACTGCCCTCAGTCACTTGTTGATGTGGACTACAGAGGATTTTACATTTTCTTTTTCCAAAACCGGTTGCATGCATATTTGCCACCAACAGGGTCTACATCCTGATCCCAAGCTCCATCTTGGTGATGTTATTCTTTCTGTGGTCCCTGAGGCAAAGTTCTTGGGGCTTATCTTTAACCATAAGCTTACATTCATTCCACACATCAAGCAGCTACGTGTCAAATGTGTAAGGGCACTGAATATCCTCCATGTCCTATCTTCCACCTCTTAGGGAGCAGATCAGTGTTCTATGCTCAAGATCTACCGTGCCCTGATTCGATCAACTGGTCTATGGTTCTGCCAGGACCTCACCCTTGAAGATGCTGGACTCCATTCACCATCTGGGGTTTTGGCTCTGCATGGTGGCTTTATGCACTTTTCCAGTCCAGAGTTTGTACACTGAGTCCCACGAACCTCCTCTTCACCTCCATTGTTTGCAACTTTCTCTAAAGTATCTACCAAGCTTTGATCTGTACCACAGCATCCCACCTGGGATTGTCTTTCTTCTTCAGTTGGACGTGCTCTTTCAGAACAAACTGTCTGCAATTCCTCCCTTTGGCTTTCTTATCTAAGCACAACTGGCTGAATTGGGTCTGTCACTGGATGACGTAGCTGTCCTCAATGATTAGCCCATTCCACCATGGCTTATCACCATCTCAACTGTTACCTTTCCTTG